GACCTTCCATATATGAATTTATAGATTACATATACCCAACTGGTACAGAGAAATACTCATAGAAAGTAGGCCAGGCTTGATCAAACTCAATCAAATAATAAGAGCTACACCAAATGACTAAAGTGAATTAATACATGAGTATGTAGTAGAAAGGGCCCCTCCATTTGGAATGAAATAATGAAACCAATATAATCCTTCCCTCCCCTCCAGGAGCCGTTGTCTTCCTTGGTAGCTGGGTAGGCACTGAAGAGGACTTCCCTGATTTCCAGGAACAACTAGGCTCTGAAAACAGTGCTAATAAAATGACAGTATTTAAAGTGTGATGTCTAAACATGTGCCAGTGGAAAGTTGAGAACTGCCTGCATTCATGCAACAGAGACCAGGTGTGTGCAAGCCGGAGCAGAATGTAGGCAGGGAGGAGCAGGCCTCCAGCAGCGCCTGGCACAGGCAGATGACACAAGGCACTGATCTCAGTCACCCCTCAGAAGAGCAGTAGGAATGAACCCTAGGAAGACCCCGCTTAGATCTCTACTTTGTCAGCTGCAGATTCCCGGAGGCCCAGGTTGAAACACACTGGTTAGACCTCTACTTTGTCCTCTGCAGACGCCAATACACGCAAGCAATTTGCTGTGCAGGCATTCCCTAAGCATTTACCATGCACCTGCTATCCGCCAAGTAGTGCCCCGGAGGATGGGATACAAGCGTAAACCCCTGTTCCTACAGAACTTATATGTTCCACCATTTTCGTGGTGGAAACAGACAATAAATAAAGATCACTTGGTAAAAAGCACAGAATGTCAGAGGGTCTGTGGAAAGAGAGAAGGTATTGGCATGCGAAGATCAGGAAATACTTTGGGAGAGGAAATGCAGTTTTCAACAGGGTGGTCAGGCTTCACAGGAGACCTGAAAGCAAAACCCCAAAGGTGGTGTGGGGAAAGGCTGGGGAGGTAGAACCTGTGTGAGGTGTGCAAGGAAGAAGCGAGGGTCCACGGGGCTAGAGAGAAGAGAGAGGAGGGGAAGAGATGAAAGTGTCAGCTGTGGGGGAGCTTGGAGGACAAGATCGATAGGGCCCTGCGGGCATTATAAAAACCTTGTTTGTTTGAGTCAAAGCCAAGAGCAAATCTTGTAGAACTGAGCCGAGGAGTGGCAGAACCAAAGGAAACCCAGGCCACTCGTTGATTCCAACTCATAGCGGCACCACCGAGCAGAGTAAAACTGCCCGCTTGGCTTTCAGAGACTGCAAATCCACATGGGAGCAGACTCCTCATCCTTCTCCCAAAACACAGCTGGCAGATCTGAGAGGAAGATTAGGGACAGAGGGGGTTGTTTCCACCAAATACCTATGCTAAAAAAAAACTAGCTGGCTGTGCCACAACAAAGAGTTTGGTAAGAAATCGGGCACAGGTTAGACACCTATGGGGACACTCCACAGCTGGGGATGCTCAGACCAAGGTCACCGAGACAGTGGTGGAGGTCAACCTGGACACACATTCTAGGCACCAGCAACATTCCATCACACATGCACCTGAATGCAGACACCATGAACAGCCAATACCCTCAGCTATGCCCCTCCCCACCCCAACACCCCCACCCCAACACCCAGTGGAGATAGGAGGGGAAATAGCACAGACAGGGGGCAGGCCACTCTCTTTTTCAGGTCAGAGAGTGGGATCCCTCTTTTATGTGCGGGTCCCACTCTCCCTCTCCTTTTCTTTGGTTCCGGGACTCTTGGTTCTGTGGACTCCACTCTATGGCCATTTTCCAAGTGGTTTGTTGTGCTTCTCTAAAGCGGTCAGTTTTGGCCGTGAACTCTCCCAAGGCCCTGAGCAGGCAGCCTTGCACCCTTTCTAGAGAGAACGTGTACTGTCTGAGACCGTCTTACCTGACGCTTCTCTATCCCTCATAAAAGTCCCTTGGATTTACAAAAGTGCTTCTGCTGCATGAATTCTTTCAGCCTTTAGAAGCAAGGACCAAGGAAACCCATCCCAGAAACCTAAAAGATTCAAACAGACCTTGCAGTCAGCAGCCCATTACACTGCCAGTGGTCCACTCCAAGAAGAGTAGTAGCATGACATATTTTAGACAAAATCTTTCAAAAGCAGATAGCAAGGGAAAAAAAAGAGGGGCCAGCTTGGAATCTCCTATAATAACCCTGGCTAACGTGCAATTGACTTAGACTGGAGTGATAGCAGTGGAGAATAAAAACGTAGCCCAATTCTAGAAATATATTTTCAGGGGGAGGGGGTCACTGACTGGATTTACTGATGAGTAGAAATAAGGGAAGAGGGTAAAAAAAGATGTTCAAAGATGACACCGAAGGTTTTTGCCTAAACAATTGGAGAGATCAACTTGCCATTGACTGATATGGACAAATATCAGGATCAATTTCAGATAACTATAAGACATCCAAACGGCAAAGTAAAAGAGATCAGTGAGTACATGAAACTGTGGTCTGAGAACTGGACTGGCCTAAAGGTAGAAAGCTAGGGTGAGCACCCCCCCTGGGGACCCAGGCCATGAGCCACAGAATCCTGGGACATTGAACCCTGGATCTTTGAGGCACAGGACATATTCCAAAATGGGAAGAAAGGTGAAATGGCATATCGGAAGGATGTGATGTGGAAATCCAACTGACCCAAAGGTATAAGGCCCAAACTACATGATGTGTGAAGAAGCAGAGGACAGTTAGAACAATTGTGCCGAACTGTCAGTAGGCGGTGAACAGTTAGTTACTTACTGCTTCCATGCCCTACTTGCTGTATGAAGACATCCATTATTCTGGAAGACCTGTGTCTGACGTAATATTCACCTGTGTCACTGAATATGATTGTAAGTTTTACCTGGCCACCAATTACCATTGTTTGTGTACATAGTGCCCCATCATGTAAGGACTTGATGTGTGCAAGTTAATAATACATACTGTGATTTGTAGTTAACCTACATTTGTTTAATCTCTTTCACAATTGTGTTTTAAATACATCACCATGGGCTACATCAATGACACTATAAAAAGGTGGATCTTCTCCAAAAGGATAATCAATAAGATTCCCTATCATAAAATAACAAAGATGTCTGAAAGGTGAACTAGAGGTAGATAGGAAACAAAGATTTAGGAATGTATTTGGGGATCACACTTAATCCTAGCTTCAGTCTAGGAACAATTACTTCTTACCACATGGCCCAGCTTAATAAGTGTCCTCATGAAGGAAGCACTGGAGATATGGGTTCTACAGCAATGTGTGGGGAAGAAAGCAGGTGGTGCCTGGCTATCAGGAAGAACAGTGTCTGGGGATTTAAAGGCTTGCTTTCAAACAATCAGTCATCATAGTAAAACATCAACTGTCACATATGGAAGAAACACAATACCATCTTTGATCCAAGGATTGTAAATTGTGTAATCTAAATCCAAAGGAGAGAATTGTTTCAGAGCTTAAATTATGAAATTCTGGTTTGCAGAAGGTTATGGATGACAGTGGCAGTCCAAAATATGCTTGCAGGATCTACACATGGACTAGCCTGATTTCCCTCTGACCAAAGTGAGAGCTAGGACTAACCTGGTTATCAGACAGAGAATATTGTAGAGTGAATACAGCAGATTAAAATAAGAAATATGAGTTCAATGGTTAAAATCTTGACATCTGATCTTGCCTTTGATCCAATTTTATCTTGACCTGGTTTTTAATATTTTTTGTTTTGTTCTGTTTTCAAATTTGATTGTATCTCTGTTGTATGTTGTTAGTGTTCTTGACTCTCTATTATGTATTTTTGTATCCTTTTGGGGCATATGAAACCCAGGATGGGTGACTCTATAGAGACAATGACTAGAATATGGGTTCCTGGGAAGTACGGC